CCCTGTCCTCAAGCACCATTTTGACTAGTTCAGCTCCCGGCTTTACCGCTCATCAGTCGCCCCTCAATGTTGTGAGAACATACTCGGACAAAACCCTCCAGTTTTAAAAGAACACATTCCAGTCAGTTTAAAAAATCTCTCTCCTCTTCGTGTCACGGATTCTGTGCCTGCCCTTCCGTTCGTTCACCACCAGAGGTCACCCTTCCATTATATTGACTCTCACACTACACAGACTGTTTCACTTTACCTTGGACTACATTTCCCATCTACCATTTCACTAATCACACGCTCACCTGAAACCAATCACACACACTATATAACACCCACTCAGTTCCTGCTCAGATCGCAGAGTATTGTTTAGCGCTTATAACAGTGTTAGCTGATAGCTACTTTACGGAGCCATTCCCAGTTTCCAGTGTCGAGTCTAGCCTTGCGTAGTTCTTAGTCTGTTTACCCGTGTCTTGATCCTTGCCTGTTTTCTCGTCTCGTCTGATCTCCGCTTGCCTTGAAGTTTATAGCCTGTTTTGGAATTACCCTTTGCCTTGCTGTTTCGGACTGTGTTTGCACCTCGCCTGGACTCTAGCTCGTCTTGTGGATTTCCCGTTTGCCTCGCCCTCAGGATTACGTTCTCCGTCAACTGACTCACGCCTTCCTTGGATACTCTTTTGTCTTGCCTGTTATGTACCTGTTTGCCACTGTTTGACCAATGCCTGTTTTATGACCACGTCCCTGTCTAATAAAAGCCGATGGATCCGCACGTCTCACGTCCCGTTCGCCCTGTTACACTTCGCTTCGATTAGTTTTCTTTTAAAGATTTTTTTTCTTTAAAGGGGTCATATGATGCGATTTCAATTTTTCCTTTCTCTTTGGAGTGTTACAAGCTCTTGGTGCATAATCTCACTCAAGCTCACTCTAGCCCGCCGTGTGTGACCCTGTGTTTCGTTGTGAAAGTGAAACTACTTTGTTTGGCCTTCCAAAAGAGGACACGACTAGAAATCAGTGGTTAAGTTGTATTTACAAAACTGCTCCAGAACAGTTCAACTCAAATATTCCGATGTGTGCAGCACATTTTATGGAGGACTGTTTCCTGATCCTGGTAGAGTAGACTACAATGCCGGCTGTTCTGACACACAGACTGTAAGTAAGTTTTTTATATTTAAAGAATTTGCCAATGATGATTCAAACGCGAGTTTTTTGGGCAGAGTAGCACTTGTTGTTTGTCATTTCTCCGATCACAAAAGCAGACATGGTTTTATGTTTACGCCGTGCGATGCAATGCAACGCGTAAAAAGACAGTATAAGTCATAATAATCCGTAATTATGTCCCCACTGGATGCAACAAATGCCTCGTTTATAATAGGTTTTAATGTTTTTGTCTCGTCGCTCAATCACAGTATGGTAAGGGGCGTAACATTTCCGTCACACGCTTGAGGTATTCGGCCAATCACAACGCACTGGATAGCTGGCCAATCACAGCACACCTCGCTTTTTCAGACCGATGAGCTTTGTAAAAATCGACGCGTTTCAGAAAGGCGGGGCATAGAGGAGAAACAATAATGTACAGTATGTGGAAAATAATGTGTTTTTTAAACCGCATAAACACATTTCATTACACCAAATACACAAAATAATGTTCGTTTT